TGTCACTCATCATGCTGATTACTGCCATAATCACTGAAATAAAGAGAACCTGTACAAATCCCGTACACATGCTACACAGCATTACTGGGATTATTTGCCTGGGATTCATTTTGTCACTAAATTACTTTTTAGTAAATTGTCATTGTGATTTTAGCTACACATTCTCATATCTTGAACATCTTAAGTCTTCATGAACATTTGTCTAAAAGAAACGGTTCATAAGAGTCATTTGTTCATAAGAGTCATTTGTTCATAAGAGTCGTTTGACGTGAACATGCAGGCCACAATCAGTAGTGTGATTTACATGTGTTTCAACTACCTTAATCGCATTATAAGGGCTTATAAAAAAGAAAGAATATAAAAATGCCTGTTGTTTTGTGGGAGCGGTAGGTTTAGATGTAGAGCGATAGAAAATACAGTTTGTACAGTAGAAAAACCATTACGCCTATGGAGAGTCCCTACAAGGATAGTGAACCAGACGTGTTTGTGAGTGTGTTTGTGAGTGTGTATGTGTGTGTGTGTGTGAGAGAGAGATGTGTGTGTGTGTGTGTGTGTGCCAGCAGTGTCTGCGCTTCATCAGGTTTGACTGGAAAGTGTTGTGCAGCAGAACTGCTGACTGTTTTCTCATGCTGCATCAGACTCTTGTTTCTCTTGATTTACTGATGACGAGGAACACTCAGTCGCTGACGCTGCAGGCTGGTGTTAAACACACATCTGAGTCTCCACACGTTCATACGCAACAAATAAAGGGCGGGACTTAGTTCTGTCCATCACTGCTGACTGGATTTGAGAAGTCGGCCAATCAGATTGTGTTTCCTGTCTCGTTAGCGTGTGCTGTACATCAGTGGTGTGATATGTTGACTTACCTACATGTTGGCTTTCTCTTCGTGTGTAGCTTGTTGAGAAGCTCACGGCTGTGGCAGAAGAGTGTCAGAATAACAAGCTGAAGAAACTGAAGGATCTGTGTGAGAAGTAAGAGATATTAAAGTGATCGTTTAGCCACAAATCATCATTTACTCTCCTCATGTCCTTCAAACCTGTGATTTTCTTTTTCAATTAAACACAAAAGAAGATTTTTTTGAAACATGTCTTTGTCCATTTAATGAAAGTCTGTGGTCTGATGTTGTTTGGACATCACTGTCCCTCAAAATATCTTATGATTTCATTTTTTTTGTTTTTTCAGAGAAAACAAAGACTTGAAGAAAAGGATGGACAAGAGACGACAGGAGAAGTTTCAAGAAGCCCGAACGCTGGAGAAGACTCTGACTGAGGAGTGAGTGGTCTGCCGTTTCCCAGCAGTCTTTGTGCGGGTCTTCAGATCATGTGTTCATGGATCCTCAGCTCTGCTAACCAGTCAGAGTTTACAGCTTGAGGCCTCAAGTCAAGTCAAGTCCCCTTTATTTCTATAGTGCTTTCTACAATACTGATCGTGTCAAAGCAGCTTTACAGTCTATATCTATGTCAATAATGCAAGAAGACAATAACGCAGTAATTTTTCAGCTAAAGTCAGTTGATTGATGATTCGGTGATGTCTTCATCCAGTTCAGCTCTCTTCAATAGTGTCTGTGCAATCAGTCAGCTAAACAAACCAAAGAAACCAAAACTCCATCAGTGACAGAAATGGAGGAAAACCTGTAGTAATAAGACTGCTAGTGGCCAGTGTGATAAAGATCATGACCAGACATGCTTGACACTGAAAGGAAAAATCATCCTGTTTTGTAGGAAAAAGATGGAGATGAACAGATCACACGTGAACGAGGTGGTGCAGTCCATCAAACGGGTGAGTGCAGGGGCGTAGCCATCATTTCAGAAGTGAGGGGGACAGAAATGTTTTATATATATATATATATATAAAACACATTACAATATAACATTTCTGTAATCTATATAACCTACCAGTCGGAACAGTTTTTGAACAGTAAGGTTTTTTATGTTTTATAAAGAAGTCTCTTCTGCTCACCAAGCCTGCAAACCTCTATGCGGACACACTTGCCCAAAAAAGTGCAGGGGACGAATTTACGTGATATTAAAAGTGGGGGGGACACGTCCCCCGTGTAATCTACGCCCCTGAGTGAGTGGATACTGGTTACCATGGACTAGTTAACCCCTGCTGGTAGCTGCTTTAATTACTCAGTCACTCTACATCTTTTTTCAAAAGTAGCCATATATTCTGACAAAATGAGCATTTTTGCAAGCAACATGGGTTTCTCCTCTAATTCTGAAGTGGACTTGTATGACTCAACTCTTCTGGCCAGATTGTCTACAGAAAAAAAAAACAGGCTAAATGCAAATAATATAATGCAACTAATCATGAATAGTTTGGACAGTAAATAGACTTCAGTTTATTAAAGAGAAAACATGGGTTGTACCGAACGCTGTGTGTTTTGTGCTGTGAATTACTGGCTGCCAGGATGAGGATTATTTTATTTCATTAACTGTGTATTTTACTGTGACTGATCCTGCAGTTACATCATTACACCTGTAGGTGTCAGCAAATGACTGTCTTTATGAAGCAGTGAATCGTGTCTTGTTGAGTATTGGACAGACTGGAAGATAGTGTGTGAATTATAGTGTGCACTTGTAGTTTATTTAATCAGTATGGTGTTCACAGTCAGAACATCAGTCATGTGATCAGCTGCAGCCAATCACAGCTGTGATTATATTCAGAACAGCAGCAGGACTGTGATCCTGCTTAATATTTTATTGTACGTATATTTTTGCTGTTTTGTATGATAAATAATGTTATTAGTGTGTTGAGGTCTGTCTGCTGTTGAGAAGCTCTGATCCAGATCTCTGGGAGAAACCGCTGGATCAGCGATCGATCAGTCAGATGTTGGTGTTTGAGGGTTAGTTATCGGTTATTTGAGGGTTAGTTCTGTGTTTCTATGTTCATGAACATCTCGCGTGGCAGTATTTTGCCGACATGTTCATCGCTCTGCTGTCACGTGTAGATTGCGTGTACTGGAACACGTCTGTGAGCGTGTGCATGTTTGTGTGTTTTCCAGCTGGAAGAAGCTCAGGACAAACGACTGGAGAGATTGCTGGAAAAACATAAAGATATTCGACTGCAAATCCTGGGAGACAAACCAAAGGTACGAGCCATTGTAGAGATTCATGATGTGAATGTGAATGTGACTCTCACACACACACAGATACACACACACACACAGATACACTCACAGACACACGCGCACACACGCGCGCACACACACACACACACACAAACACATACACTCACATACACGGATACACACACACACACACACAGATACACTCACAGACATACACGCGCGCACACACAAACACATACACTCACATACACAGATACACTCACAGACACACAGACACACACACACACACAGATACACTAACAGACAGACACACACACAGACATACACGCGCGCACACACACGTACACATACACAGATACTCACACACAAACACACAGATACACACACACTCACAGACACACACACGCACACTCACACACACACATACACAGATACACACACGCACTCACACACAAACACACTCACACTCACTCACACACAAACACATTCACACTCACAAACACACGCACTCACACACAAACAAACAGATACACACACACACAGATACACGCACACAGATACACAGACATACACACACACACACACTTACACGCACATTCACACACACACATATACCTGCGGTGTGTTCGTGTCTCTTCACTGTCACTGTTATTTTAGGAGGACGGATCACAGGAAGTGGAAGGTAAGCAGTTCTGCATCCCAGCATTCAGTTCATCACAGATACTCATCTGACATTCAGGTTAATGGTTGTGTTTCCTGAGCCGCTCAAATTAACCAAAACCCAAACTCTGGATCATAACAACCTCATTCAACCATCTTCTAATAACCAGCTTTACTGACCCGTGTGTGTGTGTGTGTGTGTATCTGTGAGTGTGTGCGTGTGTGTGTGTGTATCTGTGTGTGTGTGTGTGTTTGTGTGTATCTGTGTGTGTGTGTGTGTGTGTGTGTGTATTCGTGTGTGTGTGTGTTCGTGTGTGTGTTTGTTTATGTTTGTGTGTGTGTGTGTGTGTGTGTGTGCGTGTGTGTGTGTGTTGCTGTCTCCAGAGCTCTGTGTGTGTGTGTGTGTGTGTGTATGTGTATCTGGTAGTGTGTGTGTGTGTGTGTATCTGGGAGTGTGTGTGTGTATCTGGGAGTGTGTGTGTGGTTCATCATCACACGTGGTCTGTGTTTCAGCAGAACTGCTTTGATCGTCAGTGTGTTTGATAGTTTTCTGGTGATGTCGACTGAATCGCTCCAGCGGATGCTGACTGGCCTCTACACACTCAGAATGAGCCAGTGGTATTGATTCCTAAATAAAACTAATGAATATGACAAACAGAAAGATTTCAGGACGGTGAGACTAGAGTCACGCTCTGAAACACGCCACATGCTGTCATGACCAGCTGGGATGTGTAACACGGTTACAGCCGTGTGTTTATCTGTTGGTCAGTGACGTGTGTTGTGTAACGTCATTATACAGCGTTACTGAAGCCACAGATGGAGGAGCAGCGGTCTGCAGGCTTTATTGCTGTTGATTCTTCAGATGAATGTTGTAAATGGAGGGAGACTCACTGAAGAACTGTGTCTGGTTTTAATGTGGCTCTGGGTTCTGACTGTGCCTTCGCTTGCTTTATAGAGTGTTTTCACAGAAAACAAGTGAACAAAGAGACTAGCTGCACTGGGACGAGTTGTTAGGGTTAGTTGGGGTGGAATATTGTTAACATGATTGCTTACGCTGTACCATCTTTAGTCTTGAACGTGTGCGTGTGTGTGTGTGTGTGTGTGTGTTTGCGCCTTGTTGAGGTGATATACAGTATGTACACTGTATGTCCTGGTTTGTTTCATTTTTGCGGTTTGTTACAGGGAGAGTCCATCCAAAAAATGACCATTCTGTCTCATTTGCTCTCCAAACCTGTATGACTCTTCAGTGTAACACAAACAGTTATTTTGAGGAATGATGGAAGAACCAAACAACATCAGACGCCACTGATTTTCATTATGTGGACAAAAAAATGAGACAATTTCTCAAAATATTTCTTTTACATTTCAGAGAAGAAAGTCATACAGATTTGAACGAGTAAATGATGACAGAACGACGTTTTTTTTGTTTTTTTGGCGAACTATCACTTTAAGAGAAAAGCACTTTTTGCACGTAGAAACTTTAATCTGGTCAGAGAACATGAACTACTTCACTTCATTGTCAGGCTGTTGCTGAATTAAACATCGAGAATGTATCATCCAAAAAATGACCATTCTGTCTCATTTGCTCTCCAAACCTGTATGACTCTTCAGTGTAACACAAACAGTTATTTTGAGGAATGATGGAAGAACCAAACAACATCAGACGCCACTGATTTTCATTATGTGGACAAAAAAATGAGACAATTTCTCAAAATATTTCTTTTACATTTCAGAGAAGAAAGTCATACAGATTTGAACGAGTAAATGATGACAGAACGATGATTTAGGTTTTTTTTGGCGAACTATCACTTTAAGAGAAAAGCACTTTTTGCACGTAGAAACTTTAATCTGGTCAGAGAACATGAACTACTTCACTTCATTGTCAGGCTGTTGATGAATTAAACATCGAGAATGTATCCTCGGTTCCAGCCAGTGATGCTGGCGTTGAGTATTGATGAAGCAGGTGTGTTGTTGCTGTTTTTCTTTGTAAATGATGTGTTTGGAGCCTCAGTTCAGCTCAGCGTCACTAGAGGGCGTCATAGTGCAGTTAAACACGTCACAACACTTCAGATGAGAGTCCGTGCGTCACTATAGATTGATAAATTATGCAGCATCAGTCCACCTGGGCCTTGCTTCCCATCAGGAGTTATTCTGTAATCTGTGTCAGGAACACCTCGTTCTCAGCCGTGTCACAGTTAGTTTGGTGAGCAAACTTCACAGTGCGTCAGAAGCAGGTCAGCGGAGTCTCATCTGTGCTTGTGTTTGGATCAGGAAGCGGTTTGAAGATAAAGTAACCAGGACGAAGCTGAAATCCTGCCCTCTGTGAGAACATGAGCGAGAGAGAGAGGCCTGACCTATTTTTACGTTTGGATCAGGCACTAATGGACAGCTGCTATAAGCATCCCGGGTCTTCAGAGACCTGCAGAACCCTCTCTGCTCTCAGCTGATGAAAGCGTTGAGAGATTTCTCCTGCAAACTAACAGCTATAGCTACTCTGCCAGCAGCCGCCTGTATACGTATATAGCTGCTGTCACACCTCAGCGTGCGCGTGTTAGCGCCCTGCTAGCGCTCCAATCAGATCAGCCGGCGGGATCCACGCGCGCAGCGTGTCTCAGGCTGATTAGATCTGACTTTCAGGTTCACTTTGGTGTTTGTTTCATGAACTTCCCAGCGAGGTGAGCGCGATGAGGGAACGTTGGCAGCTCGTCGTCAGGCCGTGCTCAGTGTTATACATGCTAACGCTTAGCCTCTGGATGAGCTGTGCTGTTTCTGGGGTGTGTTTACACTTCTGGTCTTGTGATGTTTTGTTGCAGGGTGGCAGACGTGTTTCTCTCTGAAAGCGTGTTGATGTTGAATGAAGCTGCAGGCCGCGACGGTCGTATGACTTCACAAACAGGAGCGCTGTGCCATCGCCATGGCAACACTCATCCCGCTCTTAACCCCATAATAACCAGAGCAGGTGTTGCTCTCCTCACTCAGCCAAACATGAACATATTTATACCGTGATGCTCTTTGTTGACTCTGTTCGTGTGTCGTGGTATTGAAAGGAGTTTGCTCATCTATTCAGCATATGACCGTATTTTTACAGTGTTTTTGGTCCATTTTGGACACTGAACTATGAATCTTAATTTCTCCTTCAGTCTTCCAAAGCACAAAAATAACTGAGCTTGATTTTGAGAAGACATGAGGGACAGTAAAAGAATTTCATTTCTGAGAGAACTATTATCGGCATTGTAGTGTTAAAAAATACTGTGGTATTGCAGTCATAGTATTGTCCAAAAAAGCATGCTATATTTTGATGGCAAAAGTGCAGCAGTGCAGTAGACGGCGAGCGAGAGACAGATGGAGACGTCTGTGAGACACACGGAGCAGATGGAGGCTGCGTTCGGCTGGAAACACGCCTCAGTCGCTCCAGCCCTCGCTCTCGCTGTGACCGCGCTCATCCCGTGTTTGATGTGAGCCGCTCTTCATTAATAATTCACACGACCCTCCTGATCCTCGCCAGGGAAGCACTGTCACTCGATAAAGACCCGAGGAGCACAAACAAACCGTGATCCGGCTGGAAATAACCTGCTGTCGCAGAGGAAAGACGCCAAGTGATTGTTCAGCACGGAAATGATAATTAATAATTAATGTCATGCATTAGATGCTGATGGAGTCATAAAGTCAGTCTGTTAGTGAGCGTGCGGGTGATTACATGACGAGTGTGAAACGGGAACGTTCAGCTAAAGTAATTCAATCTAGATTTCAGCAGCTTGGCGTCCCTCGATGCGGACCAGAATTAGGACAGCTGTTGAAGAAGGTCGTTCTCCTCCCCGAGTGCTTTAAGAGCGCGGTGGAATTGGACGTGAGCGTGGTTTGTTGACAGATGACGAGTCTTTTGAGGAAAGACATTTTTAACTGTGAGTCGGGAGGGAACAGAAACTAGAATGGGCCGTGCTTTCATCGGCAGGTCTCTTTAGGACAGTGAATCCGGGGCGGCCCGCTGACTTCAGGGTTTTGAGGTGTTTCTCAGCTCTGCTGCTTGAAGGGACGGTGGATTTGTCAGTGTGTGTAAGTCACGATCATGTGAGCGGTCGAAGTGGCCTGAATTGTTATTCTTCTTGACTGCGGCTTGTACAGTAACAACCGTGTGTAGCTGAAGCCTTGACGACTCCCTCGTAACCTTTAATTACTGACCCAGGTGATAAAGACGTGGCTCGTCTGAGGTGGGAACGGTTGACAGGAGTCGCAGCTTAGCGTCAAACACAGTCGGGCGTCTCGGCTTTATGGCTTTGTGTCTTGTCCAGCAGGGGACAGCAGATGTCCTTCCCCGAAGTAGGTCGGGCTTTGTGCGGGATCCATCTGTTGCTGTCAGCCGACTGAAGATATGATTTTCTAGAAGGTGACCTTTGAGACTAAACCGGTTTGAGGAATTGGGATGTGCAAGTGTAGCACTCAGGAGAAATTATGTTAGTTTTTGTTTTCTGTGCTGGTAAAGAACTGTACACCAGGCTTCCCTTGTGCCTTCCTGACGTAACCAGCTCGAAACAGTGCATGCAAGTACTAACCCTGTTCTGAGGGTTAACCGGCGCAAGCAGAGATCAGAGGCGCTCTCAGATCACCAGCCAGTGTGAATGTTTCGAAATCACAGTCTTTGACACGATTCATCTTTCTTTAATTACACCGTTCCCAGGGGAGCGAGCGGGGTAGTTAACCAGTCAAATAAGCAGTAAAGCAATTATTGGGTCAGAATGAATACAATTCTGACATCTTTAATCACTAGGGGAGTCTGTGCCTGGAGAAAAGCAGGGTTCTGGTCTCTCCCAGAGCTGGCAGATGAGATGAAACCGTGTCGCATTGGCTTTTCAACACTGAAGTGATCTTCTGAGATCGTCTCTAATCTGAACCTTTAACCTCAGGCTATGGTTTTACTCTCCTGCGGTCGGCCGGAGTCATTCTAACATGGTGCGGCTTTATTTTGTTGTTTAATCCGTGTGCTTGTTCATGTTACAGCGCTGCATTCTCTCACATGACGTCGCTGTGGCTTCACATCTGCTTTGTGATTACGCTCCAGATCAGAGCTTCTCAACTGATGGATCACGACCCAGAAATACAGCTTTGTTTTTCCCTGCTATGATAGCAACAAATGGAAAGACAAACGACAAGAGATAAAAGAAAACACGCCATTAAACACGAATCAGCGAAGAAAAACCAGTTGAGATGCTGTGATCTGGAGGCTTCTGTTCCCGATGAGTTCCTCGTCTGATTTTGTACCATTTCTTCCGCAGCTTCAGAGCGAGCTGGACCAGGAGTATCAGGACAAGTTTCGGAGGCTCCCAGCGGAAATCCAAGAGTTCGTGCAGGACTCTGCTGCTTGTAAAGGCAAGTTAAGCCAAGACAGTGACTTTCTTCCCATTTCCAGAACGCCGGGGAAGCTGAAGCCCTCGCTCTCGCCAGCTGAAGATGTGGAGCGGTCTTCAGAGAAAGTCTTCGACACGCCACTCTGAGCTTGTTGTACCTTTGTAAACACGTTTTTGTACTTCATACGCTGTTGAGTTTCCCTGATTTAATATGCACCTTTTAGTACGACGACTGGATGACTTACTTGAACAATGTTAAAAATAATTTTCCTCTTTTTTTTACTTTTAAAACTCGTAGTTTTCACAAGAACTCGCTGCTTATGTGGATTTAAATATGTGTATGTGTTTTTACGGACTGTCATGTATGTTTAGATGAGTCTCTTAATGATTTCTAACGGCTCTGAAGTCTTTTAATATGAAATTTAGGCTCTACTTGTGTCACATATGTTATCATGGACCGTCCGGCCATAATTTAGACTTTGTATGAATTCAGTTTTTAATAATATAACAACACGTGGACATGAAACAAAAAGGCATCAAGTGATTCATTTGCTTGCATGTTATTGTACAGAAATGTGATGTGGAAGGAAAACAAGTATATGAAGATTAACATTTATGCATTCGGCAGACTTACACTGCAGTCTCTCTGGGAGTCGAACCCATGACCTCGACGTTGCTAGCGCTTGATCTGCTGTCTGAGCTGCAGGATGATGCTTAATAAAGATGTTTAACAGATTCTTATGTGCCACAAAGAGGAATATTTGATCACAAATGCACTGTGGGAAAATGTTCAACTGGACCAAAGCTTTCAAATGAAGATGAACTTTAAAGTCAGCAGACTCGTGATGAATGTACAGTTGAGGTCAGAAGATTACATGCACCTTTCAGAATCTGCAAAATGTGAATTATTATTATAACACGAGGGATCATACAAAATGCATGTTATTTTTTTAGTACTGATCTAAGATATTTCACATAAAAGACGTTTCACATATAGTCCACGAGAAAATAATAGTTGAATTTATAAAAATGACCCTGTTCAAAATTTGAGACTCGACGCTGCCAGTTTCTGAGGTTCTTTAATCAATGTTTAGGAGATGATTGAAGTGTCTGATATCGAGCCGTGTCAAAACAACAATCTGAGACGTGCCTGTAGATGCACATAATCAGCGTCTCGAGATGTGTGTGAGTCCTGTGCTTCTGAACACGCTTACCTTCTTAATGCATCATGTGTACATTTGTCATTGTAAGATAACAGTCTGTGTGCGTCTAGTGCACTAATGAGTGAAGCTTGTGACTGGCAGTATTTCAGAGAAATGTTACATTCATAGACACCTTCATGCGCTTTTCTAGTTTCTTCACGCTGATGTTGATGTACGTGAAGCTTCTTGAAATCAGGTCAAGTGTAAGCGGGTTATAAATGCCTGCGGATTAAATAAACGTAGCTTCTGTCTCAATGTGTGGTGCGCTCTGGTGTTTGGTTGAGTTTTGCTGGTAGTTGTAGTTGCTGAAGGTCAGCGTGCCTGTTCCTGCCCCGCTGAAGAGTTGTATGCTGTTTCTGCAAAGCACCTTGGGAAGTTCTTCTGACCGGCTCCTGAGCACATTTCTCCTGAAGAGCTTCACTGGGTGTCTGAACCCTGTTTAATGCTGTATAAATCTGCTGTGCTTTAATGTGTTTAGGATGCTGGGAAACACTCTCATTAACCGTAAATAATAGGGCCGTATTTCATGTGCTGCGGATGACATAAACAGAAACTCAGCCAGCTTTATGTCCGTGCAGAGAAACAGAGTGTGTGTGAGTGTGAGTGTGTGTGTGTGTGTGAGAGAGAGAGAGAGAGAGTGTGTGTGTGTGCAAGATGGCGGCAGGTTGTAGGCCACTCGCTGGTGCAGGTGAATGCCAAAATGCTGCTTGGAAAAATTAAACAACCACACCCGTTGTAATTGCCATCGTTAATGTAATAGGTGCAGATAAGATGCTTTGGCAACTATTGTGGACAATGTACTTGATCGCAACAATTAAGCTTGCATACCAATCCTACTAGACTCAACCTTTCTGTTTGGTTTCCTACAACTCAGGTTCCTCACTGTCTGCATCACACTACAGAACAGATCACTGAAACATTGCCACATATCCTGAACGGCTGCCATGCTTACAAGGGAATGTACATAGCACGCCACGACAGAACAGTGGACCTGATAGTGAAAGACATCAAACCATTTACCACCTTTAGTAAGAATATACAAACATTCCTGTGTAAAACCATCTATGTTTCAGTATTGTAGTAGTAATTCTGACATCTTTTCATGTCTGTCTGCTAACACACCAGATGTTGTTGTGATTAATGAGGAGTGTACAGAGGTGTTTGTTTTGGAGGTTGCATGCACCTTTGACTCTAGTATGGAGGAAGCTTTCATGACTAAAGTCTTGATTAAATATCAACCACTACTAAATACCATTTCAGAGACAGGTTATAGAGGCCGATTACTTGTTTTTATATTTGGCAGCTTAGGACACACACACAGGCTGGTTGTAAGAGGGCTTCAACAACTTAGGATGCCCAAAAAGAGGGCTAAACGGATAGCAAAGTAATCTGCTTTGTCACACACACACTCTCTCACACACACACACACTCTCTCACTCACACACATAGTAAGAATATACAAACATTCTTGTGTAAAATCATCTATGTTTCAGTATCTTAACAGTAATTCTGAAATCTTTTCATGCCTGTCTGCTAACACACTAGATGTTGTGATTAATGAGGAGTGTAGAGAGGTGTTTGTTTTGGAGGTTGCATGCACCTTTGACTCTAGTATGGAGGAAGCTTTCATGACTAAAGTCTTGATTAAATATCAACCACTACTAAATACCATTTCAGAGACAGGTTATAGAGGCCGATTACTTGTTTTTATATCTGGTAGCTCAGGACACACACACAGGCTGGTTGTAAGAGGGCTTCAACAACTTGGGCTAAACGGCTAGCAAAGTACTGTGCTTTGTCCTCTATCATAAACAGCCGTCATATATGGCAGAGACGCTGTTATTTATACCCATAACAACTGAGTGATATGCTTAATATTGTGAAGACCTGTTGCATGCCACTGTTCCATGATTTTGTACATGTATCTAACTGCATCTATAATATTTATGTCCCTGTAAATTATTTATTTTAAGTGGACTTAAATAAATTGTTAAAATGTGAGAAAGAGAGTGTGTGTGTAAGAGAGAGAGAGTGTGTGTATGTGTGTGTGTGTGTGTGTAAGAGAGAGAGAGTGTGTGTGTGTGTAAGAGAGAGAGAGAGTGTGTGTATGTGTGTGTGTAAGAGAGAGAGAGAGTGTGTGTATGTGTGTGTGTAAGAGAGAGAGAGAGTGTGTGTATGTGTGTGTGTAAGAGAGAGAGAGAGTGTGTGTATGTGTGTGTGTAAGAGAGAGAGAGAGTGTGTGTATGTGTGTGTGTAAGAGAGAGAGAGAGTGTGTGTATGTGTGTGTGTAAGAGAGAGAGAGAGTGTGTGTATGTGTGTGTGTAAGAGAGAGAGAGAGTGTGTGTATGTGTGTGTGTAAGAGAGAGAGAGAGTGTGTGTATGTGTGTGTGTAAGAGAGAGAGAGAGTGTGTGTATGTGTGTGTGTAAGAGAGAGAGAGAGTGTGTGTATGTGTGTGTGTAAGAGAGAGAGAGAGTGTGTGTATGTGTGTGTGTAAGAGAGAGAGAGAGTGTGTGTATGTGTGTGTGTAAGAGAGAGAGAGAGTGTGTGTATGTGTGTGTGTAAGAGAGAGAGAGAGTGTGTGTATGTGTGTGTGTAAGAGAGAGAGAGAGTGTGTGTATGTGTGTGTGTAAGAGAGAGAGAGAGTGTGTGTATGTGTGTGTGTAAGAGAGAGAGAGAGTGTGTGTATGTGTGTGTGTAAGAGAGAGAGAGAGTGTGTGTATGTGTGTGTGTAAGAGAGAGAGAGAGTGTGTGTATGTGTGTGTGTAAGAGAGAGAGAGAGTGTGTGTATGTGTGTGTGTAAGAGAGAGAGAGAGTGTGTGTATGTGTGTGTGTAAGAGAGAGAGAGAGTGTGTGTATGTGTGTGTGTAAGAGAGAGAGAGAGTGTGTGTATGTGTGTGTGTAAGAGAGAGAGAGAGTGTGTGTATGTGTGTGTGTAAGAGAGAGAGAGAGTGTGTGTATGTGTGTGTGTAAGAGAGAGAGAGAGTGTGTGTATGTGTGTGTGTAAGAGAGAGAGAGAGTGTGTGTATGTGTGTGTGTAAGAGAGAGAGAGAGTGTGTGTATGTGTGTGTGTAAGAGAGAGAGAGAGTGTGTGTGTGCGTGTGTGTGTGTGTGTGAGTGAGAGGAGAATCAAAGTGAACGGGCTCTTAGCTCTCGGGCTAACATTAGCTGGCTACCGCCGCTGTCCCGGATCTGCGCGCGCGGTTCTCCAGCATCGCTCGTCATGTGAACGGTAAGGATGCGTGTGTGCACAGCTAACCTTCAGTTGCTCGTTGAGAGGTCGGTGCAAATGCAGCGCTGCTTCCGTGTGTTAGCGAAGGTTTTTCCTCAGTCCAGCTCCACTCTGCCGCTAATACTGACAATTACGTAATGCATACTGAATGAATCTGAGATCTAAAGCATGCAGGGCCTGTGGTGTGTGCATGTGTGCATTTACTGCAGAACGCAGGATTATATCTGCATGCATGTGTATAGAGTGTGAGTGTGTGATCAGATCTCGTCCGTCTAATTCAGTGTGAACGGTGTCAGAAATAAACTTCTGTTATCAGCGACGTTTGTCCCATTTCCACCTGCATCATGAAAACATACAGTGTGTCTGTAACATTGCACAAGATTTCATAACCGCAGATATTCAGATTTCACAATCAATATCTGGCACATTCTGATCCTGCATGTAGTCAACATATGTGTGTTTTTGGTGATCTATCATGTTGCCTTCTTAAATGACCTTTAAAAAACATACATTAGATATCAGTGTTGTTGTTTTTGAATATGTGTTGTTTTCAAAATATACCTATATTCAAAACGCAACATCTGAAAGAGGTTTTAATTTCTTTATATTTTACAACATAACTTTTGTGCCTTGAATCAGATTTACAACCACATTTTGGCATTTATATTTACTGCCTTGATATAACATTTGACCAATAATGTCAAAACAAAGAGTAAAAGCAGAACTGACAGAGGAGCCATTGCCCGGAGATCTGTGAAGCTTTCATGTGTGTCCTGTTTAAAGTGTCAGGTTCTGATCACGGGTGTGTGCTCGTCATGTAAAGCGGTCAGAGCGTCTGTGCAGGTGAATGGGTGTTTACTCAGTCATAAACACTGCTGCGTGAGGAAGGTACAGCGAGCTTCTTTAAGGTTTTGCAGTGGATCTTCAGATCGTTGGCTGGTGAATGTGAAATCGAACAGGTGCTGTGAATGTGTTTGAGGCTGGTCAGGTTCACAGGTGCTTGTTCAAACAGCTCTAAAGGACTTCAGAAATGCTCTGAACTCGGTGTAACGTCGCAGTGTCATGTTTTGCTGTTTTTGTATGGTTTGAATCACTGATGGTTGGTTCATCGAGACACTGTTAGCTCTTTCCTGAAATGACAGGTTGGTTTGTGACTCTGATGTGCATGTGTTGGTGTTCATCATCTCATCTCATGGAGGGCTATGCTTTATCGTGTTTCAGAAGCGCAGGCTTTGAGTCTTTGCTCATATGTTTCAGTGCTCAGTCTTTGTCTACAGCAGCGTTCAGAAGCACACCCGCCGTCTCAGATGTCTGATTTTACTACAATTTTCCTATTATCAGCCGTCATGTCCGTTATCAGCCAGAGTGAAAGTAGTTATCCGCTTTCAGTGTGAGCCGCAGATATTTGCATCCCTGAGTTTGATCAGAAGCTCCTCTTCCACAGGTGTGTCACACGACTTTCAGACAGAAGTGTTTTTCCTGCGTTGTGTTGTGGTTTTCTTGCGCTCGTGCGTCCGTCTGTGTGCTGTTGGGAAGATGCACTATTCTTTTTTAATTAGTCCAATGCGAACACAATGAGTCGCAGGCTTCTGGCTGTTATTGTGCTCGTGTGTTTTCTTGGGGTCGACTGACTGCTGGCGTTCTATCTTCACACATTCAGTGTGTTTTGGCTTCATTCGTCTCTCTCTCTCTGTGTTTCTTCACAGGATCCGAGATGTTGCTCGCCCCTTAAATCACTTTCTGCACCACCGGTGAGTTTGTGCTTGATTCCTCTTTCTTCAGCATGTCTCACACTCCGACGCTTTAGTAACTTTATTGAGTTTCATTTAAAAAGTGTTGTTTTAGGATCTTCGATCAGCAGATGGTCCCTGCTTTCAGGCTGGTTTAGGTCAAAGCTGAAGCTGGTCAGGGTTAACCTGGAGGACTAGCAGTAGTTCACAGCCTGACCACAGTTTTACTGCTAACCAATCACACTTAAACCTGCTGTGTTAGTGGCACAAAGGTCGTCAGTTTATCTAACTTTCATTAATTTAGCAATGTTCTCAAACCATCGCTCTGTCCTGAGCTGAAGAAGTTTACACTAACGCTTCTGCCTACAGTGTCTTGCCATAATCTTCATTCTCATACTTGCGCACTAGGATACTTGTATCTAGTACGATATTTCCTGATTTTAATTATTTGAATGAGCCGATACTGATACCTCAATCCCAATCTCAGATTTTAATCTGTGCTGTTTTCAGTCGATGCGTGAACAAAACCTCACTAAACTTTATCTGTAGCTCCTGCCATCCAATAATCACAATAATCGTTGTGCTTGGTTAGTTAAGTCTCCGCTTTTAAATTCTGACCGTTTTATCACAAGATACAGTCACTGAATGTGGCTTTGCTGCTCTTTAATGTGTGCTGACACTAGTGTTAATTTTGTCAGCCATTTTTTATTTAGTCTTAGTCTTAGTTCTGCGGCAGATGTATTTTTCAGTTATTATCATATTTAGTCAAGCTCGTCCTGCTTGTGTTTAGTCAAGTTTTAGTCGACTAAATGTCTGAGCATTAGTCAGTGAAGACTTTTCGTCACATTTTCATCATGCTGTATAATAGTTAAACTGATAAATTATGTTTACTTAAAATTATAATCTATAAGATTGTTGTCATTTGAGAAATGTATTTTTCCATTTCAGGTATTGCACTTCCACCAATAAGCACAAATCAACAGGACTTTATTTGACCTCATTTAGTGTACTGATTTATTACAAGCTATATTTAATATATAAATGAATATCAAAGACTTAGATATGCACTCTCTCTGCCTACATTATGAAAATTGGCAAAAACAAGCAATTTGGACGTAGTTGCCAGATTGCAAAAAATAAACAAAACACCGGGCAGAAAAAGTATGATTTTAACAGAGAAGCTCTGATTGGGGGATTTGAACTCTTGATATCTGGCAACCGCACATATGAACGCTCGTGTAGAGGCGTGTACAACAGTCCAATAATATTTTGTCTCCTTTTTTTCAACGAAAATTAAAATAAATTTTGGTATAGTTTTTATTTTTTTAAATACATTTTAGTCTCGTCTTTTATCATCAACGATATTGCATGTTGATCTAGTCACAGTTATCGTTTATTGACCTTATTGTCGTCTCGTCATCGTCTCGTCTTAGTCATGGGAAAAAAGCTGGTCAATGAACATTTTTCGTCACAGTTTTCGTTAACGACATGAACACTAGCACAGATGGCTGCAGTGGAGCGATCATCTCTTTACTAGTAGTTCCAGCAGAAAATCAAATCAGCATGAAACTCACTGAAATCAATCATGCATCCATCAATCACTGATTCAACCGCCATAAAACAGCTAGAGATCAATAATGTCACATTCAGTGACCATAAACCTGAAAATAACTCGAGAGAGGAGCGTTTTAATAAATAAATGCACTATATTACACATTCATGATGTTTTTACTGAACCTGTTGTCTTCGTTATTTATGAATAAATCTGTCATGAAAACACATTTTTATTACAGCCACCATTTAAATGTTTATATTTCAACAACCAATTGGAGTAGAAGCAATTATATGTTTAAAAGGTTGATATCTGTGTGCAATTTAAACATTTGTGACCCTGGAGCACAAAACCAGTCATAAGGGTCAATTTTGTGACCCCAGCGACTTAACACTGCTTTTGTGCTGCAGGGACACATATGGACATTTGATTTGAGTGTTGGTTATTATATATGAAGCTGAGCATAATAGTTTGTTAATTTCAAACTTTAATACAATAGTGATGTATGAACTGACCGAGTTCTCTGTATAGTTCAGCACTTTAGTTGAGATTTAGTTTTCCTTGAATGTTTCCAAGTGAATGGATATTGAGAGCTTGAGACTCGGACTCGGATCTTGACATCTGTGTTATGTCTGGATCTTGAGTGTGTTTCAGTCATTGTTACTATTAATGACTGGACGGAGTGAATTAGTGCGTCCTGAAGCGATTACTGCGCCCCCCCGCCGGCCCGAGATCTCCCATCATGCCGTGTTCCTGCGAGCGTCTTTGTAGAACAGCAGCTGAAGCATCAGGGTTCCTGGACGACGAGCTTCGGCTAAAAATAGCGGCGAACAGAGCGAAGCCGGAGCTATTACTGCTCTTTCTAATTGCAGCCCCCTGTGAAACACGTTCAGTCACGGCACTGCTGGGAGCACTTCCAATTAACCCGTCGACCTTTGTGCTAGAGCTCAGAACGTGACTTCTGAAGGCTTGTTAATTCACTAGTATGTAATCATCTGTTCCATGGGTCATGTGACTGCGTCAGGTGACCAAGGGTCAGTCACCTTCATTTCTATAGCGCTTTATACAGTAGTCAAGTCAAGTCACCTTTATTTATATAGCGCTTTTAACAATACAGATTGTGTCAAAGCAACTGAACAGCATTAATTAGGAAAATAGTGTGTCAATAATGCAAAATGACAATAGTAAACACTAATTTTCCAGTTAAAGGCAGTTCATCATTGAATTCAGTGATGTCATCATCCAGCTCAGTTCAGTTTAAATAGTATCTTTGCAATCATTTGCAATCAAATCACTGATATAGCTGGAAATTAAGTGTCCCCAACTAAGCAAGCCAGAGGAACCAAAACTCCATCGGTGACAGAATGGAGAAAAAACCTTGGGAGAAACCAGGCTCAGTCGGGGGGCCAGTTCTCCTCTGACCAGACAAAACCAGCAGTTCAGTTCCAGGCTGCAGCAAAGTCACATTGTGCAGAGGACTCATCTGGTTCCTGTGGTCTTGTCCCGGTGGTCGTCTGAGACAAGGTCTTTACAGGGGATCTGTATCTGGGGCTCATCTAGTTGTCCTGGTCTCCGCTGTCTTTCAGGGCTGTAGAGGTCCTCTCTAGGTGCTGATCCACCATCTGGTCTGAAACAGAACAGTACAGGTTTTACAGCAGCTTTACACTTATAGACAAGAAAATAGTAATTCAGTGATGCAAACAAAGAAAGAAGCTAAAAGAGATAATAGTAAACAGTCATTATTCACAATTCATATCCCAGCATACTGCAGTCTGCACCTACTAGAAGCACAGCATTATGGGAAGAGTCCGAGTGGAACAGTCAAGCCAATTATATTTCAATTATGTTTCAAAGCAGCTTCGCTGAAACTCATGTTGTTACTGTGTATAATATCGTAGTATCTTCATGCATTATAGTTGCATGTAGCAGATTAGAGCTGGGCGAGAATATAGTTACTTTTTGCGACAATATAAACCGTGTAGCAGATTGAACATCAGGTGTCTTTCATGTGGGGTTTTCTTTTATCTTGTGTGGTTTAGTTGATGTTTTTTTAGGTTCAGCCTGTCCGTGCTTCATTTGTCTGATCTGATCAGATTCCTCAGAATGTGCTGAAATACTGTAGAGTTTGATGGGACACACGGCCGTTTCCCATGATGCCGTGCGACCGTGATTGTGATTGTGATGGTTCAGATGATTCAGCTCCTGATTGTTCTCGGAGAGTGACTCATGGTGAAGGTCGCGCTGCGGTTCCTTCAGGAGCTCAGTGAAGCTCTCAGTGGCTGGATCTCCATTGATTATTCAGGAGCTGATCTGGAATCTGCTGTCGTGGATCTCGTGCTCGTTCCTCTGGCTGGTGTTTCTCCGCGTGACGCTGGTGTGTGTGTGTGTGTGTGTTCCTGCTGTGGCTGTGAACAGATTGATGTTCCCCCGCCGCTGTGGGATTATCGGCTGCTTTAATCAAGAGAATATTTGTCGCCTCGTCTGATGTTACCTGAAATAATGCCGCTTAAAGTCTAAAAATAAACAGCACTCATTATGTGGATTTGCCAGACTGAACGAACAGAACAGAGGGCTTTCTCAGGAGATTTAACCGGATCGTTTGTGTTTCATAACGCTTTATTTTAATCTTGCACAGATTGATAATACAGAGGAGATTGGCTTCCGCTTCAGAACATTTACTGTAAATCTCGCACTTTAACCAGTCGTACGTTACAATATATTTTTATACGATTTTTATGTTGGGGGTTCACGATGTCATAGCCATAATTTAGTTTTACATTTTCTCTCTTGACTGTTTTTATGAACATTTTTTTCAGCTTTATGATGTATTTCACATGATGTGGGCGGGTCATATGTTAATGAGCTCTGTTATGATCGGTGTCGTTTACACCGTGTGGGCGGGTCATATGTTAATGAGCTCGGTCATGATCGGTGTCATTCACACAGTGTGGGAGGGTCATATGTTAATGAGCTCTGTCATGATCGGTGTCATTCACACGGTCTGGGCGGGTCATGTTAATGAGCTCTGTTATGATCGGTGTCATTCACACGGTGTGGGAGGGTCATATGTTAATGAGCTCTGTTATGATCAGTGTCATTCACTGAGCTCTGTTATGATTGGTGTCATTCACACGGTGTGGGCGGGTCATATGTTAATGAGCTCTGTCATGATCGGTGTCATTCACACGGTGTGGGCGGGTCATAGGTTAATGAGCTCTGTCATGATCGGTGTCATTCACACGGTGTGGGCGGGTCATATGTTAATGAGCTCTGTTATGATCGGTGTCATTCACACTGTGCGGGTGGGTCATAGGTTAATGATGCAGGAATCATCTGACCGATCTCCATGATTTATCTAATTATTTCTAATAATTTACACTAAGCTATTTTGTTTAAAATGCACAATAACCATCTTCATTTCTGACTGGTTTATTTTCTCATAACTGAATTGTTTTATTAATGACATTAAATGACGTAGGCAGAGTAAAAACAAAAACTGAATGAATGTTGAACTGAATTGATAGTCAAGTCACCTTTATTTATATAGCGCTTTTAACAATACAGATTGAGATCAGAATAACGACACTGTTGTGTAGCTGCTTTACTACTGAAATTGACTTTGCTTCATATTTGATGAAGTTTGCTTCACTGATTCTGTTGCTTTCCTGTTTATTTCTGTGAAAGTGTATTGTAGATCTCTATTGTATAAAGCGCTATAGAAACACGTGTGACTCGACGAGCTAGATGCAGCTCTGAATGAAACATGTGTTTGCAGGTGTTTGGTCATGTGACCGCAGCGCAGCACACCTGTTCTCTCCGCACTGTTTTAACAGCTTGTGTCTTCCTGTTTTCCAGAAAGTGACTGCTGTCCTCAGCCCATCTGTTTGCCTGCTCTTCACCTTCAGCCTCGGCCTGGTAAGACTGAATTAACTCAGTTAAACGAGGCGGTAATGAGCGGCGTCTGATCATCAGACGTGAGGCATTAGTGCGTTATGTGCTTTATCAGCATGTCTGTCTTCTGTCAGGATCTGCAGCCAATCAGACGCCAGCGCTGTTCATTAAAGAGACAGTTCACCCTAAAATCAGCACCGTTCACTCTCACTCGTGTCCTTCAGACCTGAGCTTCTTCTCTGGAGCTCAAAAGAAGATATTGCTGGGAAAAAACAACATCAGACCCCAGTGACTTTCATTATATGGACAAAAAGCCTTTTGTGTTTCACTGAAATAAGTCATACAGGTTTGAATGACATGATGGAGAGTAAATGATGACAGAATGATGATTTTTAAGAAAATTGCCCTTTTAATTTTACATTTTAAAAGAGTGTTTTATGGTGCGTTTGAATTGAGTGCTCACTATGTAGGGGACGCCTGTGTCACATACTCATTTCTGCATACTACAGTATATAGTGTGTATCCTCTGCACAGCAAGCGTAGAGTAGCATACGGTTTACAGCAGAACACTATCCCACAATGCAATGCGCTCAACCTTCCATTTCCAGTGTGATCAGTGAACCGGAAGTGATTCTCTTTCTCGACTTGTTATTTGATCAGACTGATAAAAGTATTCTGACAAAATTGTACTGAAAATATGTAATAACCAGGAAGACGCCTGGATGAGTCATGTGATGTAATGAGGTCATGTGACAGACAGTGTGCGGGGTTTCTTAACGTCTTAGATTTGGTTTGATCACACAGATAAGTGATTATTATTCAACTTCAAAAGGCAATGATTGAGTTAATAAACATGAGTGCTGCTCGTTAGGTGTTAGAGCCGTTAAAGATGCACCTGTGATGAACCGACTATGTTTATGTTATGATTTTATATTATAATATGTTGCAGATGGTTGTAAGATGCACATTTTATGCATTTTTAAGCACTGAAGCAGAGACGAGTCCTGCTGTATTTCAGGCTTGCTTATGATGAACAGTTCTCTCCTTTGTTCCAGGCTGTTATTGGTATTTTGGTCACACAGTAAACAGTATCTGGCATTTAAATCAGTGTAATCTCTTGTGTTTTCTCACTGAACATTATTCATACAACCTTTCTTTAAATACATGATCATATCGACGGATCTCTGCTCCATGTGTATTTCAGTATATGTGTATTCAGTTTCAATATAAATGTACGTATTGCAGTATTTAAACTCGCAGATGCCCTGTTTAGTTCTGTGAGCCGCAGCCTGTTCAATTAATAAAAGAATTTAAGAGACCTGATTTATCTTGAGATGGTATGGGTTTGTGGTATTAATTTGATTTGTGCAGATGTGGTTTTAAACTCTGCAGAACGACACGGTGGCAGTAAACACGGTTTAGCCGCTGCCTGCAGATGAAGGTTAATTGCTGCTCTTTGGAGATTGCTTTTGTTTAGATTGAGAAGCTCTTCTGGGAAGACGAGGCCTCCGGTGAATCCGGCTCTATAAATACTCCCGTTCGGAGCGCCGCGGGCTGAACCAGGCCTATCCCGGGAAGAGTGTTGCCATGGAGACGAGCGCCGTCACCGCCGGCGACATCTGTATGAGCCGTGTTGATGAGAGCAGAAGAAACGACCTCGAGCGCCAGAATCCATATATCATCTCTTCAGATAAACGGGAATGACTGTGCCATATAAGTGCAGCTGCTCTGAGTTATTTACCCACGATCCTCGCTCTTTCTGTAAAAGGCAGTGTTCTATTTCTGTGGCTCTGCAAAATATTCCCTCTTTGTCCTCTCTTGCCTTATCTGCCGGCCTTTGGAGGACAGAATCCCTAATTTGCTGCTCCTGTTAGGTACATATTTGGGCAGAGATAACAGCAGGGAATTATGGAGGTCGTTCCTGGGCCGGAAACGGCCTGCAGACGCTATTATTAGCCTGCGACGCGATGCTGCCGGACTCTCGCTGGTCTCCCGCTCGCTGACGGCTGGTTAGCTGAGTTTTCTCCATGTTTGGTCAAATGCGGATCTGCTGCTAATCCACTGCCAGCCAGACGTCCATCTTCTGATGCTCTCGCCTGGTTTGATGGTGTGTGCTCATAATTAAGCTGATGTTTAATTGCACAGCGTCAGCTGCTCCTACAGGCAACCCTCTACACTGACTTTATTTTTAGTTGTTAGACCCCTAGAGTCAAGGTATGCATTCACCTTGAGAACTTCATCTTTGTTTCCCAAAGCAGAGACTAGTTACAGCAGATCTGGGTGGGTAACAGGAAGAGATAATGAACAGCAGAACTAGTTTATCATCTTCAACAGGTTTAGGAACTCAATGTCAGTTTATTTATAAAACACCGTTTCAGACGACAGAGAGCTGAGAGGAATAAAAATATAGTAATAAACAATTAATAAACATAACAAGCCACAGACGATAAACATCAGGATTAATGTGGATCAGATTAATCTTCAGTTCATTAAAAGCCAAAGAAAATAAAGAAAGTCTTCTGCTAATGCTTGTTTATTGTGAGATTATCAGGGCTCATCTTGTCATCTGTCATTCAAGCAAAATATAAATGAACATGATCATTCTGTCATCACTTACTCACCCTCAAGCTTTCCTTCTGTTGAACACTAAAGAAGATATTCTGAGAAATGTCTCCGTGTTTTTTATGACGGTGGGGTCTGATGTGGTTTGGCTCCTGATGTTCTTCAAAATATCTTCTTTTGTTCCCCAGAAGAAAGAAAGTCATGTTTGAATGATGAGTAAATGATGACAGAATTAATGAATCCTTGTTTGGCTGATCATGAATGACAGAGTATATCAGTGACCAATATCAGTATTGCAGTGACCTTTGACCTTCTGCGCTCACATGTGAACATCTCTGAGCAGAGCAAACGTGTGTGTTTCCTGCGGATCCTCCAACGCTGATCGGACGCGCGTCTCTTCTGAGTGAGATGCAGAAGTTTCTTGAGCTGCTGTGAGGGTTTGAGTCTGGCCTGCAACGCCTTCCTGCTGTCTCACTGTTTCTGTTTGACATGGAGTGTGTGTGTGTGTGTGTGTGTGAGAGAGTGTGTGTGTGTGTGAGAGAGGGAGAGTGTG